CCTCTGCCTCCTGAGTGCTGGGATTAAAGGTGTGCGCCACCAACGCCCGGCCATTCTATTTTTATTTCATGTAGATTTCCAAGACAAGGTTTCTGTGGGTAGCCCTGGCTGTCCTTGAACTCCTTTTGTAGACCGGACTAGTTTCAAACTCCTATCTGCTTCTGCCTCTGCCTCTCCAAGGCTGGGATTAAATTGTGAACTACCAATGCTGAGTGTTAGTGGTACACCCTTTTAATCTCAGCACTTGGAAGGCAGAGATAGGAGGATCTCTGTGATTTTGAGACCATCCTGGTCTACAGAGTGAATTCCAGGACAGGATCCAAAGTTACAAAGAAATCTGTCTTGAAAAACCAGAAAAGTAATTGTGTCCCATCACACCTGGCTCCCTTTTGTTTTATGAGGTAACTTCACTGTGCAGGCCCAGCACACGCAGGCTTCATGGAGTGAGTTGTGCATCAGGCATCACCTGGACACACCTTGGGCTCCTGGATCCAATGTGGGGTCAGTGCCACTTAGTTTTCCACCGACCTCCTTCTGTGAACTTCAAATCACTCCCCTCCCACTTGACCTTGATGCTCACATTGACAACAGCGCCCAACATCCAAGTGCCCAGCAGTGGGTTCAGGAACAAGGACTGTGCCACTCCAGAGTCTTCCTATTCAAGATACAAGATGGTCTCCTACATAGTTGCAATCAGAGGGTCCTGTGTGGTCATGACCTTTGCATTGGTCCTGTCTTCCTTCCTTCCTTCCTTCCTTCCTTCCTTCCTTCCTTCCTTCCTTCCTTCCTTCCTCCCTTCCTCCTTTCCTTTCCTTTTCCTTTCTTTTGTTTATCTTCTTCATTCCTTTTCTTTTTCCTTTTTTTTAAAGACAGGGTTTCTCTGTGTAGCTCTGGCTGCCCTGGAACTCTCTGTAGACCAGGCTGACCTCAAAGTCACAGAAATCCACCTGCCTCTGCCTCCTGAGCGCTGCTGGGATTAAAGGCTTCCTCATCATGCCCCAGGTCCTGTCACCTTGATTCCAGCTTTCAAGGAGACCTGGGAGTGAAGCTCCCTGATCTTTCCTCAGCCTCTGTTCCCACCCTTCAGTAATGCTGACCTGGGAGCCCTGGAAGCCATGGGCAGGACAAAACGTGTCCCTCTCTTTCCCAAGACAGTGAGTCCCTGCTATGTTCTGTAACAGGGCAGCTGTTCATCCTCCATGTTCATTACCAGCATACAGAGTACAGGTGGGCCTCCCATAGGTCTCAGAAGGCTCTGGCTCTACTTGAAAACCTCACAGAACACCAGCCTGTTGGAGTGGTTGCAGACAGGGTCCTGGAATGTGGTGGCAGGGGTGACACACATGCCACTGTGTCCCCAAAGACTGAGAAGTGCTGAGTCCTGGGGGCAGACCTTCTTCCCTTCTTCCCCCTGGCTGCCCAGTGTGCTGGGCCTGCACAGTCCTGCTCCCTGCCTGCACTGAGGGGAGAGTTTGCTGAGGAGACGCTTGTGGCAGGCAGAGGGGTGGAGTAGGGTGAGGAAAGCAGAAAGATGACCCTGCAGGTTAAATGCACCCCTTGTCCCCATTTTCAGCTCTCAAGCTCCTGTGATTTATATTTTAGTTCATTTAGCATGCCTGGAGCCCTTGAAGGTCAGAGGAGGAGTCAGAGCCCCGGGATCTGGAGTCATGGGTGGTTGTGAGCCACCTTGTGGGTTTTGAGAACGGAACCCAGGTCCTCTGCAAGACCAGTGCTCTGCACCACAGAGCCAACTCTCCAGGCCCTCCAAAGTAATTTTTAAATAATCATTTTATCTTGTCCAAACAGAAATTATATTCCCTCTGAGAAATCACTATTTTCCAAAGTAAAACAATAGAGTGAGAAGAATGGATCTTTTTACATGTTACATTTCCCCACATCCTCTTCTTCACCATCTTGTTAGAAGACTGATGCGTTTTCTTGTCCACTTCTGTCTTCAACCATCATTTTGGTTGAAGTACGTGAGGAGAAAAAACGTCCAAGTTCACATCCACACACAAGAGCTGTTATTTTTGTTGTCGTCGTTGTTTTGTCTTGTTTTTCCAGACAGGGTTTTTCTGTGTAGTCCTTGGTGTTCTGGAATTGGATTTGCAGACCAGGCTAGCCTCGAACTCACAGACATCCGCCTGCCTCTGCCTCCCCGAGTGCTGGGATTAAAGGCGTGTGCTGACATCACTCAGATGTCATGTTTAATGTCTTCAGGTAGACATGGACACTCAATTTTGCTAAGACAATAAGATAACACCTTAAGCTTTCATAAGTATGTTGTGTTTTGCGCATGTGAGTGTTTTATCTGCATGCAGGTATGTGAAACACATGGGGCCTGCAGCCTGAGGAGGTCAGAAGAGGGCATCAGATTCCAGGGTCTGGAGTTACAGGGGGCTGTGAGCTGCCTTGTGGGTGCTGGTCCAGGGCAAGGAGGGATGGGGTTGAGCTATGTACACTTGAGAGTGGTGCCTGCAGGGGGCAGAGTGAGGCCTGTGTGCCCCTCTGTCTTAGTTGTCCCTGCTGTGATAAAACACTATGACCAACAGCTACTTGAGAAAGAGAGGGTTCGTGTCTGCTTACACTTCCACATCTCATCCAGCATGGACGGGATCCAGGGCAGGACCTTGAGGCGGGATCCTGGAGGTGGGAACTGAAGCAGAGGCCATGGAGGAACATGTCCTACTGCCTTTTGCCTCATGGCTGCTCAACCAGGTTCCTTCCACACCCCAGTGCTACCTGCAAGCGCTGGACCTCCCACGTTGATCTGGGCCACCCACAGCCACCAATAATGAAGAAGGCCCTACAGAATTACATTGAATGGAGACACTTTCTCCTTAAAGCTCCTCGAGCTTGTCTAGGTGTGTGTCAAGTGACTAAAATTAAATGGCACAACTTCCCTTTGCAGAGTCGCTGAGCCTAGGAGCTGAGTGAGGAGGGTGTGTACCAGCCCCTCCTCCTGATATGGAGCACCAGGAACCCATTCTGCTTGGGGAGGCCCCATTGTTAGAAGAGATGGACTTCAGAGTAGGGGACACACTGAGTTCCAACTACATCTTTTTCCCTCAGTTCCAAGACCCTTTCACCCTCTTGCTTGTTATGTGACTCTGTTGGTATAGTCACAGGTACACTGAGTAGTAAGTAGGTCAGGGAAAGTGTCTTCAGAGCAGCCAAGTCTGACTTGATTTTGGAACGGATTGATTATGGAAGGATTTTGGAAGGATGGATGGAGGGAGAGAGAGAGAGAGAGAGAGAGAGAGAGAGAGAGAGAGAGAGAGAGTTAGCTTATGACGCTCCAGGGCCCACATCTAGGAACATCAATGACCTTGGGGACAGCATTCAGGACTGTCCCTGTGATACTGGTCTGCTCTAAAGTGTTGGAGCTCTCCTGTGATTGGTCAGAGCTGGAGAGTGACATCAAGGGACGGGGACAGGGATGGAGTCTTGTGACTGGTAGTGATGACCAATAGGATCCATCTGGCTTCTAGGTGAGTGAAGGAGATGAATGGGACAAATATGACAGAGAATAAGTAATGAGGGGACATTAGAGAATCAGGCAGTGTCATCTGCCACCACCATTCCAGACTGCAGTGGGAGGGCAGGAGTGGAGGGGACCCCACACCTCTGTCCTTTCTGACTCCCCACCTTGGGGAACACAGAGGGAGGTGCTCTTCTCTTGCTCAGTGACCTCAGCCCCTTCCTGGGAAGGCAGGGATGGCAGCAGGTGTCAGGGCTCCTGTGACCGAGCCTGGACAGTCTCCAGCCTTGTCTATAGGAGGAGAGGACACAGGAGCATGCTGGACGCAGAGTGTCAGACCCTAAGTTGTCTATTTTCCTTAGCCTGGGTCCCTGTGGAGCAGGGAGACCTTCACCCATAAGAGTTTTGCTGATAAATCTTCAGCATATATAAAGAGCTTGTGAAGCAGACCGGGTGAGTCGTAAGTGTAAGTTCACGTGTCAGTCCACTCATTCCTAGTCACTTCTCACATCACAGTCATCTGTCTGCATGTTCCCACACGGATTCATTAAATTACATCTATGAGTGAATTCTTGCCTGTATGTATTTGTATCGTGTGTCTATCTGGTGTCCACAGGGGACATTTGATGCTATGGAACAGGAGTTATGGATGGCTGTGAGTCACTGTGTAGGTGCTGGTGTCTGTACATGAGTCCTGAGCAAGAGCAGCCAGTGCTCTGAAACCCTGAGGCATCTCTTCAGTCCCTGGATCATGTCTTTTAAACAAACACAAATCTAAGGTAGACTCAGCCTGTAAATCCTGGAGTCACCACTGGAGGCAGCAGCAGGGGACAGCACCTGGAGTAGGGGATGAAGTAGTTTCCATCTTTGGCATTCCCACGATCTATTTTTTAAACGATACATTAATCTTAGTCTACGAGACTTTTCTTGCCTGTCCATCTTTGCAGCAGGTTTCTATCTGGTGTACAGGGCTATTGGAAGCCAAGGAAGAGGAATTATGGATGGCTGTGAGCCACCATGTGTGTGGTGATATCTGACCCTGGTTCCTCTGCAAGAGCAGCAGGTGCTCTCAACCTCTAAGCCATCTCTTCAGTCCCTGGATCATGTCTTTCAAATAAATGCAAATCTGAAGTAGACTCAGCCTGTAAATCCTGGAGTCACCACTAGAGGCAGCACCAGGAATCCCAGAGCCAGGGAGGGAGAAGGGACCTTGGGCAGAGCACAGATCTGAGATGAGACCCTGTGAATTCCTCCTGTCTGCCCATCTTATAACCCCAGGTTAGATTCTGAAAGATGGAAAGAAGGAGAGAACCACAGCCTCCTGTGTGTAGGGGCCTAGTTGGGTCCTGAGGGGATAAGGATGGAAAAACAACTCTTTTTTTTTTTTGGTTTTACAAGACAGGGTTTCTCTGTATTGTTTTGGAGGCTGTCGGTCCAGCCTGGTCTCAAACTCACAGAGATCCGCCTGCCTCTACCTCCCGAGTGCTGGGATTAAAGTTGTGCGCCACCACCACCCGGCTGGAAAAACAACTTTTAATGCTGTCACTCAGGAGGCACAAGGGATAAGGAAGCAGAGTCCACTTAAAGGAATATAAATGGGCCTAGTCCTCCATACAAACTAAAAAGTCAACAATAAAGAGCAAATATGGGGTAAAGAGGTATAGTCAGGTCAGAGCCCAGGTTGACCCGTCCTGGCTGTCCTGGATGCTCAAAATCCTGGGCCAGGACTCAGCTCTGACCATCCTATAGTCCCTGTGAGCACAGATCTCAGCATGTGGTTCTAAGTGATGAAGAGAACAGAGCCAGGAGGTGACAGAGCTGAGGAGTGACCATGTCACACTCGACAATGGACTGAGCTCCACCTGGGCACAGCCCTGTTCTCACTCAGCTTCTACAATCTCATCTTTTCACAGAAGACACACAGCCCACTGAACACAGATTCTGGGAGGTTCTCCACGCTGCCATTCATTTCTTCCACAACCTCTAAGTATCTCAATAATTAATTTAACAGCTAATCAACCTGTCGAATCAAGGATGAGAACAATCAAGTTCAAATCAAGATCCTTATTTTCAGTGGGGATGTCAGAGGTGCAGCTCAGGGCAGCATGGAGGTGACAGGATGGAGATGTCCCCTCCTGTCTGCTGGAACAGGAAAGTTGGCCATGGAAGGGCACACAGGCAGTGCAGGGACAGGGTCCTGGTGTGCAGGACGGGGCTGGGCTGAGCTTCACATTGAGTCCAAAGGATCATAGGGAACATCAGACACCATTGCTGAGAGTGAACTGAGGGGCCCTAGATGTCACAGGAGAGATCTGTACACAGTGACTGTCACTCCATCCATGCCTGGCAGCTGTCTTCACGCTACAGAACAAGAGTCATGAACAATCACTGTGAAGACAACATCCCAACAACACACCACTCACTCATAGGTGATTCTGAGAGTCCCTGAAACCCAATCATGTCCATTTTGCCCCCCAACCCCAAATGAGGTCCAAAAGTGTCACCTTCACAGTCTTGGAGAGACACATCAGAGCTCTGGGCACTGTCCCTGCCTAGGATTAAAAAATATATATCCATAGGAAGGTAAAAACAGGACCCCCAGCAGATTTTGCTGGAGGAGCGATTATGGATTTCCAGAGGCCCTCTAAACACTCAGGTTCACTCCTCAGGCTTCAGGGACAATCCTGCTCCCCACGCTTACCTGCAGCTGGAGCATAGTTGCCTCCTTTTCTACCTGTGAGAAGAAAAGCTGTGAGAGATCAGGGAGGAGCCCAACCCTAGGAAGTTTCCAGAACCTACAGAAGTCCCAGGTTAGAGACAGGAGCTGTGGTGGTGCGGATGTGTTTCCATGAGCAGAGCACACATCTAAATGGGGATGGGAGGGAATTCGGACCCCGCCCTGTCCTACCTGCTGTTTCCCTTCCTCTTCCTCACAACAGCCACAGCTCCAATTATCACAGCTCCAATGATCACAACTCCAAGGAGAACCCAAACAATGACTGGCATGATGGGGACAGTGGACTGAGGAGGCTCTGGGAAGGGAAGGACAGGAAGGGAAGGTGAGGGTCATGACCCCAGCTCTCAGCCCTGACTCTGCTCAGGCTCTGCAGACAGCTCCATCTTTCCCTGACCCCAGCTCTGCACCCACTCCCTCCTTACCCCATCTCAGGGTGAGGGGCTCAGGCAGCCCCTCATGGTGCACATGGCATGTGTATTTCTGCTCCTCCCCAGAAGGCACCACCAGAGATGCCCACTTCTGGAAGGTTCCATACCCAGAAGGTCTGGTCTCCACCAGCTCCATGTCCTGAGTCTGTTCTTCCTCCTCCCTCTGCCAGGTCAGGGTGATTTCATCAGGGTAGAAGCCCAGGGCCCAGCACCTCATGGTGACATCACCTTTAGGTCCAGGATGATGGGTCACATGTGCCTTTGGGGGATCTGTGTGAAAGATTTAAGAAACCCCACAATAACAAGATTAACTGAAATCTGCATAGACTAAGTTAAGTCAATGATGACACTGAACTATGTGTCTGAACACTTCTGACTGTCATCCCACTAGTGACCTGCAGGTGGAGCTGGTCCCCCTCATCACAGATCTGCACATTTTCCTGGGGGACCCAGAAGCTAAGAGGGAATCACATGACCCAGCAGGTCCCATGGTCTTCCTTATGTGATGTTCTATAGCATAAGTTAGGTGGGAAAACAATGGAAGAAGGGATGGAAAATAATTAATTTATATATCTGATTAAATTCATATCAAAATAAGAAATTAGGGGCACAGGCTACATAAAGCATTCTAACAACTACTGCTGCCACCATTGGAGGCAGAACCCCTGTGGCCATCTTGCTAACCAGCATAGCTGTCTTTCCAAGTGAACAGCCATCACCAAAGTGTGCGGCAGAAATGGGGTGAACCTCTGACACTGGGGCAGAGAAAATGACTCCCCAACCCCAGTCTCTGGGGGACAAGATACAAGGTGTTGTCACCCAGGACCCCTGGAAGTTGCTGTGGAGCCCAGTGCAGCACTCACTGAGATACAGCGGTGCTCACAGGGGTGTGTGGATTTTCCCTGTCACTCCAGTCCTTCAGTTGCAGAAGACCCTGTCTCTGAGGAAGCTCAACTCCTAATTCACTGGGGCAACACTGAAACTTGTTGGGGCTGAGGGAGCTTAGTGGAGGGTTTGGATAGTTAATTCTGGCAGAAAATTCTCTAAGGTCATGGGACTCTTTCCTTTAAAGGGAACACTGAGTTGTCTAATTATCCAGTTAGCAGTCCCCCATGACACCTGTGGAGACTCATACAGATGATAATAAAAAGGGAGGGGGAAAAAAAAGCTGGGCATTGGTGGTGCACTCCTTTAATCCCAGCACTCGGGAGGCAGAGGCATGCGGATCTCTGTGAGTTCGAGGCCAGCCTGTTCTACTGGTCTACAGAGCGAGTTCCAGGACAGCCTCCAAAGCAATACAGAGAAACCCTGTCTTGAAAAAAAATTGCAATTGAAAAAAGAAAGAAGGACAAAATTTAAAAACCCACATATTTTAGAGGTTTTTCAGGATACCCCATAAGTGCTCACATAATCATTCTGGAAGAGATAGAATTCGGGTGAGGGAGGGATGGAAACCTCACACACAGGAATCTGGCAGAATGTATTCTTTGATAAGTTCTAGGAACTGGGGAACCAGCCTAGGGCAGGGCGTCCTCCTCTCCCATCAGGTAAAGGAGACTCCGGTCCTGGTGTGTAAGGCTGACACACTCAGACACTGGGTGTGGGCAGAGAACCCGGCCTGGGAGAGGCCATGGCTGATCCAGGGCTGCAGACTGAAGGAGCCACTGCTGGGGATGTGGGCATCTTCTCTCCTCCCTCCTGAGACAGACCTGGAACCTTCCAGGGAGAAGGCTGAGCCCTGGGAGATCAGTGCAGTCCCTGCCAAGCTGGATCAGGAGCTCCAGGGATACTGTGTCCCTCAGAGACAGGGGCGGGACCCCAGCTGAGGTCTCTTCTTCCTGAGGACTCAGCCCAGCCCGAGGGCAGGGGGAGGAGTCGCCCTGGGCGCTTGCACCTGTGCACAGCAGCTGCTTCTTCCCCTTCTCCAGGTATCTGTGGAGCCACTGCATGCACATGCCCTCCAGGTAGGCCCTGTGTCTTTCTGCAATGTCAGCCTATTCGAACTTGCGCCTGGTGATCTGCGCCACCGCGTTGGCCGCTGTCCATGTCCTCAGGTCCTCGTTCAGGGTCAGGTAGTCTTTGCCATCCTAGGCATACTGAAGGTACCCGCGAAGGAGGCGCCCGTCCGGCCCCACGTGACAGCCAGACATACGCTGAATGGTGTGAGAGCCTGGGGGGGGTGAGTCCCGCGATCAGCCCCGCCCACCCGTGAACCCTCTAAGCCAAAAGGGAAACCGGGTCCTGGTCCCTGCTTCCTCCTCCCGGACCTTGGACTTGGGACCCTGGGAGACTCCAGTCCACATGTAGAGACTAGGTTGTCGTGACCTCCGACCCGGGGTCACTCACCGCCCTGGCTCTGGTTGTAGTAGCCAAGCAGGATCCTCAGGTTCACTCGGTAAATCTGCTCTGCGTCCTCGGCTTTCCGCGTCTCCCCATCCCAATACTTCGGCCCCTCCCGCTCCATCCATGGCGCCCGCGGCTCCACCATCGGATTCTCTGAGTCGCTGTCGAAGCGCACGAACTCCGTGTGGTCCACGTAGCCTACTTCCATGAACCGGGGCTCCCCGAGGCCGGGCCGGGACAGGATGGTGAGGAAATACCGCATGGAGTGCGAGCCTGGGAGCAGGCTTCTTGAGACCCTGACCTCCTCCCGGGACCCCGGGCAGGTGCGCGCGGGCCTGGAGGGGAGCTGGGCGCAGGGCTCGGGACGCGGGAGGGGAAGGGGCGGGAGGGTCTGGCCGGGCGATGCGGGGATGCGGATTCCCTGGTGCCGCCCACGCTCTCCCTGCAGACACCGTTTCCCTCCCGACCCCGCACTCACCCGCGCGGGTCTGGGTCGGGCCCAGGGCGGCCGCCAGCAGCAGGAGCAGTGCGCACAGCGCCATCGCCCCCATCTCGGATCTGGACATCCGAGTTTCCAACGTGGACTTTATACCCGGTGCCATGGCGATGCTGTTTGTTTCTACGGGATCTCGACACCCAATGGGATGAGAACCGCGGAGTCATCATCAGTGTCAGGGAAGAAGGAGCTGACACAGGTCAGGAGCTGGAGAAGTGAAACTGTGGACAGGGGATCCATAGAGCTCGGCTTCCCCACCCAGCACCTCACTACCCGGTACCAAAACTTTGTCTGACCCTGTGCTGGGGACAGAGGGCCTTTGTCCCGGGGTCCCTGAGTCGCTCCTCGAGTCAGGATGAAATGCATGACGTTTGCGGTAAAACACAGGCAGCCTTAAAATGAATGTTCACAGAAACAAGTGCTGTCGCAGTCCCGGTGATTGCATGGGGCTGCTGTGGACGCCTGCGTGGGAGGTGACTGCAATTTTACAGCTCTGGTCAAGCCCTTTTGACACACTGTGTCATGGGTGACTCCTTGCAGGAAGGAGTTCCTGCTCTCCTCTGCTTTCACTTTCTACTTCAGTTATGTGTGGCTGGGGTTTGGAGACATCAAGTCAAAACCCACAAAAACAAAAAATTTTAAACTTGATTTTTCTCCACACTACTGAACAGGGATGAAACCTAGAATCCCCAGTGTGTACCTCTGCCATGAGAATCACCCTCTGTCCAGTGTCCACACTGCACAGCCCTGATGAAACCAGATCCAGGGTCCCAGAAGCCTTTGACTTCTGGGATTTTAAGGGTGTGGAATAATGGAGGAAGGAACATGGAAACTGGGTCAGACTGACATGTGTGCTATGGGCCCTCTAAGTGCAGACTCTAGATTTAATATGGAAGCTCTCGCAGTGTAAAAGGCATCAAAAGAAACTTAAAAGAGTAAATACATTATATATAAAAAAGTATGAATGGTTGGCTGAAGCACTTGTCAAAGATGGCTCACTGATAAGACATGGATATGCCTGATATTCCTTGGCTTAGTGTTGATGAAGGGATTTGAAGGCTCAAGGAAATTTCAATGCTGGAGTGTAAGATGCTGTGTAAAACCTAATCCTCCACAGTGGGAAGACACACCTTTCACTGATTCTATAAGACACAAAGTGGTGACAGGGACACCAGCATGCTTGAAGATCTTTGTTGTCACCCTTTTCCTTGAGCCAGACCTCAGGGTTGGGACACTGCTGCTCAGTTGGATTAAGTAAAGGCAATGGGTTTAATTAGGTCCTAATGTATCAGTGGCCAAATGGCAGCAGGGGAGAACAGTGAGCACAGTGAGGGAATACTGGACCAAAGCAGGGGCAAAACCCAGCTGGGCAAACTCCAACCTGCATCTCCATGTGTGATGTCAAAGCAGTCTTCAGATCTCCAACTCCTTTTAGCTCTGTTGACTGCTACACCCTTCTCTCTTGGGCTGGGTCCACAGAGCTTTAGCACCTGTCTTTGGGAGGTGTCCCTTGACTGTGCCATCCCTTCATGCAATGGCCTCTCTGGCCTCCATGTAGGGATATTCCTGACACAGCGGGCCTCCCTCAGCTGCTTTCGTTAGCTGCAGAGAGAGATTCCACAACCCATGGACCCCTTCTGCCTTGGAAAGGACAATGCTTTGTTCTCCCTGGAGTAGACACTTTTTCTGGTTATGGATTTGCCTTTCCTGCACATAGTGCTTCTGTCAAAACCACCGTCGGTGGACGACAGAATGGCTGGCCCACTGCCATGTTGCTCCACACAGCATGGCTTCTGGCCAAGGAACTCACTTCATAGCCAGAGAAGTGGAAGAGTAGCCCACGATCACAGAGTCGACCAGTTTTACCATTTATCTCACCATTCTGAAGCAGCTGGTCTCACAGAAAGATGGACGGCTTATTGAATACACAATTACAGAGTCAGGTAGGTGACAGCAGCCTGGACGGCTGAGGCAGGGTTTTCTAGAAGGTGGTATATTCTTTAAATCAGCGTCCAATATATGTATAGCTTCTCCAATATCCAGGATCCATGAGTCCAGGAGTCGAGGGATGGAAAAGGGACTAGCTCCACTCACTATCACTCTAGTGACCACTAGGACAATTTTTACTTCCTGTTCCCTGACCTTAAGTTCTGCTGACCAAGTAGTTTTGGTTACAGAGTGAGGAGAGCTCCTGCCAGGACCCACAACATACATTTCACTAAACTGGAAGCTCGGACTACACATTGGCCAATTTGGCCTTCTGATGTCCATTAGCCAGCCGTTTAAGAAAATAATCACAGTGCAAGAAGGGGGTGATTGGTCCATGTTATCAAGGGAAAATTGGTTTGTTTCTCCAAAATGATGATAAGAAAGATCATGTTGTCAGGCAGTGAGGTGCACCCCTTTAGTCCCAGCTCTCAGGAGACAGAGGCAGGTGAATCTCTAAGTTTGAGGCCAGTCTGGTCTACAGAGTGATTTCCTGTGGTAGGGGATATCTTCTATAGGATGTGAATATATGTTTCTTTTATTTGTTGATGAATAAACTGTTGTGGCCAATGGACAGGCAGGATGTAGCCAGACAGGAAGTATAGGTGGAGCTACGAGACTAAAAGAAGGCTGGGAAGAGGAACACAGAGTAGTCACCAGGGAGAAGCCATGTATCCCTCAAAGGAGTAACATGTCAGAGCACTACGAATAAATCACAGCATCGTGCAATACATAATTTAATAGAAATTGGTTAATAATTATGAGAGGCCTAGCCAATAAGATGCCTTAGACATCAGGCAAGGAGTTTATAATTAATATAAGGCTCTGTGTGTTTATTTGGGACTGAAGGGCATTGGGACTGGGCTGGACATAAACTTCTGTCTACATTCCTGGACAGCTAGGGCTACACAGAGAATCCCCGTCTCAAAAAACCTACAAAATGCCTTAGTTAGTGTTCTACTGTTGTGAAGAGACACCATGACCATGGCAACTCTTATAAAGGAAAGCATTTAATTGGGGCTTTCTTACAGTTTCAGAGGTTTAGTTCATTGTCATCATGGCAGGCAGACATGGTCCTGGAGAAAGAGCTGAGAGTTCTACATACTGAACCACAGGCAACAGGAAGTGAACTGTGTCCTCACTGAGAGGAGCTGCAGTATAGGAGACCTCAAAGCCTGATGGACCAAGACAAAAAGACAACAACCCTCCTGGAGAACTGTCCTCAGTGAAGACCTCCCCTCTGTTCTCTGACTTCTGTGAACCAAGTCCATCTGCATGACTGTTGGGGTCACGAGTCTGTCCTATCTCCTCTCATATGCTTTACAATAAAGTGTCTGCAAGCAGAGCCCCAGGCTGGGCGAGCATTGTGTGGGATGCTACACTCATAATCCCGAGTCCCCTTCCTGAACACCAGAGTCTCAAATATTGAAATCTCTCAAGACCAAGCTCTCCAAACCACAAAATCCCCAAAGTCACAGTCCTGCTCCCTAAAATAAAATACCAAATGTTTAAATCGGGAAAATCAAATTCCCCATGAGCAGAGTTCCCATGGTGTGGTGGGTGTCACTGTACGAAGACAGAAAGGCAAGTTTTAGGAAAGCCTTTGACACAGCTCAGCTCCTGTGAAAACCTTATAAACACTCATCATCCTCTACACTGTTGTTTCTTCTAGTTGATGAAGGTCCAGAGCCTTGGATGAACCAAAACATCCCTTGTCTGAAGACGCTGGTGAAGTTACTGTTGGCAGGGAAGCAACTGAGTCTATAGCAGGCCCTGTGTGCACCATTCCTGGACTTGTGACCTCTAGAATGTTTCTGTCCTGTGTGTGGTCTGGATGTGAGCACGTGCAGAGTAGATTCCCTCAGACCCAAAGCACGGGAAGCCTGGCACAGCAGATGGGAAAGGTGGGTGGGAGCTCACTTCAGGGTGTGTCACCTTACAGGAGAACTTGATGAAGACCATTATCGTAGAGAAAATTACCCTGAGCCTGTGGTCTGGGGAGAGCCAGGTGCTGAGAGAAAACACCCTGGATACTCAGGACAACCTGAGACTTCAGAGTGCAGTTCATCACCCTGGAGGTCTGCTGACTCAGCATGTTTGCTCTTATTAGCATAGCGTGCAAAGTAGTGTGTCGCTGTAACCTTGTCACACATTCATCCAATGAACTTGTGTCCTGTGTCCTCTCTCTTCCTCTATTGCTTTCTCTAGACACACTTTCCAAGTCTGAGTCCCTAGGTTGTCCTCCAGCTCTGATGAAGCAGTACCCAGGAGTTTCCCGGGATCGGTTCATGATACATTGTTTCTTTCTGATTTTGGTTCAATCTATTTTTATTTTATTTAATTTTCCAAGACAGGATTTCTCTGTGTAGCTCTGGCTGTCCTGGAACTCTCTGTAGACCAGGCTGGTCTCAAAGTCACAGAGATCCTCCTGTCTCTTCCTTCCAAGTACTGGGATCAGATTCTACTTGCTTGGGAGTTGAGCATATACTGAAGACCAGCTGAGCCTAGAAGTGACAGAGCTGAGGAGTGACCATGTCACAGCCAGCAAAGACTGAGCTCCACCTGGGCACAGCCCTGTGCTTACTTAGCCCCTACAGTCTCATTCTGTCCCACCAGATACACACAGCATGATGAACACAGATTCTGGGAGATTCTGCAAACTGCCATTCATTTTCTCCACAACTTCTAAATATCTCAAGAACTTATTTAACAGAAAATCAACCTGTGAGATCACTGATATCAACAATCAAGTTCAAATTGAGATCTTTATTTTCAGTGGAGAAGTCGGGGTTGTAGCTCAGGGCAGCATGGAAGTGACAGGATGTTATGTCCCCTCCTGTGTGCTGGAACATGAGGGTTGGCCATGGAAGGGAACACAGGCAGTGCAGGGACAGGGTCCTGGTGTGCAGGACAGGGCTGGGCTGAGCTTCACATTGAGCCCAAAGGATCACAGGGAACATCAGACACTGTTGTGGAGAGTGAACTGAGGGGCCCTGGATGTCACAGGAGAGGCCTGAACACACTGTCTGTCACTCCATCCATGCCTAGCAGCTGTCTTCACGCTACAAACAAGAGTCATGAACAATCACTGTGAAGACAACATCCCAACAACCCACCACTCACTCACAGGTGATTCTGGGAGTCTCTGAAACACAATCATGTCCACTTTGCCCCTCCCAAATCAGGTCCCAAAGTGTCACTTTTACACTATGGGAGAGACACATCAAAGCTCTGGGCACTCACTTTCCCTGGCTAGGGTTAAAAAATATATCCACAGGAATGTGAAAACATGGCCTCTAGAAGACTCTCCTGGAGCAACTAATATGGGTGGCAGAGAACAGCAAATACTCGAGGTACACCCCAAGGGTCTCAAGGACAATCCTGCTCCCCACACTTACCTGGAGCTGGAGCATAGTTCCCTCCTTGTACACCTGTGAGAAGAAAAGCTGTGAGAGACAAAGATGAGCACATCCCTAGGAATTTTCCAGAACTGACAGCACACACAAGTTAGAGACAGGAATAATGGAGGTGTGGATGTGTTTCCATGAGCAGAGCACACTTCTAAAAGGGGCTGAGAGAGAACTCACACCCTGCCTATTCCTACCTGTGTTTCTCCTCCTCTTCCTTACAACAGCCACCACAGCTCCAATGATGGTCACAGCTCCAAGGAGAACCAGAAGAGCAATGACTGCCATGATGGGGACAGTGGACTGAGGAGGCTCTGGGAAGGGAAGGACAGGAAGGGAAGGTGACGGTCATGACCCCAGCTCTCAGCCCTGACCCTGCTCAGGCTCTGCAGACAGCTCCATCTTTCCCTGACCCCAGCTCTGCACCCACTCGCTCCTTACCCCATCTCAGGGTGAGGGGCTCAGGCAGCCCCTCATGGTGCACATGGCATGTGTATTTCTGCTCCTCCCCAGAAGGCACCACCAGAGATGCCCACTTCTGGAAGGTTCCATCCCCAGATGGTCTGGTCTCCACCAGCTCCATGTCCTGAGTCTGTTCCTCCTCCTCCCTCTGCCAGGTCAAGGTGATGTCAGCAGGGTAGAATCCCAGGGCCCAGCACCTCAGGTTGACATCACCTTTAGATCCAGGATGATGGGTCACATGTGCCTTTGGGGGATCTGTGTGGAAGATTTAAGAAACCCCACAATAACAACGTAAACTGAAATCTGCAAAGACTAAGTTAAACCAATGATGACACTGAACTATGTGTCTGATCACTTCTGACTGTCATCTCACTAGTGACCTGCAGGTGGAGTTGGTCCCCCTCATCACAGAACTGCACATTTTCCTGGGGGGACCCAGGAGGGCCACATGGTCTTCCTTATATGATGTTCTATAGCATATGTTAGGTGGTAAAAGACTAGAAGAAGGGTTGGAAAATAATTTATATATGTGGTTAAAGGCATATCAAAATAAGAAATTAGGGGCACAGGGTACATAAAGGGTACCCCAACTATTGTTGACACTATTGAGGCACAGCCACTGTGGCCATCTTTCTGAGCAGCATCACTGTCTGTCCAGGTGAATAGCCATCACCAAAGTGTGCAGCAGAAATGGGGTGAACCTCTGACACTCAGAGAAAATGACTCTTCAAGCCCTGCTCCTGGGGGGACAAGATACAAGGTGTTGTCACCCAGGATCCCTGGAAGCTGCTTTGGAGCCCTGTGAGGACTCACTGGGACACAGTGGTGCTCACAGGGCTGTGTGGATTTTCTCTGTCATTCAAGTCTTTGAGTTGCAGAAGCCCCTGTCTGTGAGGAAGCTCACTTCCTAATTCACTGGGACAACACAGTAACTTGTTGGGGCTGAGGGAGAGCAGGGAGCTCTGGATGGTTAATTCTGGCAGAAAATAGTTTAAATCACTGGAATTTTTCTCGTTTAAGGAGGACACTGACATAACTTGTCTACTTATCCGGAGCATGAGGCCCCCATGGCACCTGTGAGACTGACACCCATGATAGTGCAAGGGGAGGGAGAGAAGCAATAGCAGCAGAGGGAGGGAGAAAATCGACTAAAAGCAAAATGACAACTTCAAAATAGAAGAAAGAGAGAAAGAGAAAAGTCAGAATCAAACCCAACAGTTTAGAATTCTCCTAGGGCTCCCCATAAATGTTCATTCTAGAAAGAGATAAAATTGGAATGAGGGAGCCATACAAACCTCACACACAGGAATCTGGGAGAATGTATTCTTTGGAAAGTTCTAATACTGGGAACCAGCCTAGGGCAGGCGCCTCTCCTATCAGGTACAGGAGACTTCCGGTCCCGGTGTGTAAGGCTGACACACTCAGACACTGGGTCTGGGCAGAGAACCCAGCCTGGGAGAAGCCATGGCTGACCCAGGGCTGCAGACTGAAGGAGCCACTGCTGGGGATGTGGGCATCTTCTCTCCTCCTGAGACAGATCTGGAACCTTCCAGGGAGAAGGCTGAGCCCTGGGAGATCAGTGCAGTCCCTGCCAGGCTGGATCAGGAGCCCCAGGGACACTGTGTCCTTCAGAGACAGGGGCAGGACCCCAGCTGAGGTCTCTTCTTGCACAGGACAGAGCCCAGCCCTAGGGCAGTGGGAGGAGTTGCCTGTGACCCCTGTACCTGTGCGCAGCAGCTGCTCCTTCCCATGCTCCAGGTATCTGCGGAGCCACTCCAAGCAGATGCCCTCTATATAGGCCTTTTCATGCTCTGCAAAACCAGCCCGTTCCCACTTGCGCTGGGTGATCTGAGCTGCTGTGTCTGCAGTGGTCCAAGTCCTCAGGTCCTCGTTCAGGGCAATGTAATCTCAGCCATCATAGGCGTCCTGACGGTAACCACGGAGCAGGCGCTTGTCTGACCCCATGTCACAGCCATACATCACCTGAATGGTGTGAGAGCCTGCAAGGAACCCGAGGTCAGCCCAGCCCACCTTTCCAGCCCTGGGGTTATCCTTGCCCTGATGCCTGTCCACCTGCTGATTCTCTAAACTGAAAGGGAAACCGGGTCCCGGTCCCAGATGTCCTCCTCCTAGACCTCGGACTTGTGACCCAGGGCGACTCCAGGCCGGTTCTTAGGGTCTTGAGAGGTTTACCTCCGACCCGGGGTTACTCACCACCCGCGCTCTGGTTGTAGTAACCCAGCAGGGTCCTCAGGTTCTGTCGGTAAACCTGCTCGCTGTTCTTGAGGAACCTTGTCTGCCTCTCCCAATGCTCCCGCCCCTCCTGCTCCACCCAAGGCGCCAGAGGCTCATATCTTGGATTCTCGGCGTCGCTGTCGAAGCGCACGAACTGCTTGTCGTCCACGTAACCCACTGCAATGAACCGGGGCTCCCCGAGGCCGGGCCGGGACATAATGGTGCGGAAATACCGCAGCGA